CCCCGCGCCGGCCGGGAAACTGAGGCCGGGGCGGGGCGAGCGAGGCAGGCGCCGGGGCGGGATCGATAGCCCAGCCAATGACCGAGCTCAGGGTCCTTGGGAGGCGGTGCTGTGCTCGGGCCTGGATCTGTGGGTCAAGGTGCAGTTTCTAAAACCCGCCCCGGCATCAGGCAAAATCCAGTACGGGAAGGAGCAGGTCTCAGGATCGTGGCATCTGCCTGAGCGACCGGGATCCCCGGAGATCGGGGGTGGAGAGACAGGCAGACCCCACCCCCCACCCCCGGGGCACATGGGGCTAGTCCCATCCCTGACGTTTGAGGGTTTGGCATTCCGACACCCAACAGGCTGTGCGGCTACCATCCCCCCGCTACGGTATTTAGAGCTCCATGCAGAGAACTCAGGAAAAAGATCCCCAGTACACCCTGGCTATCTCCCCCTGAGCAGCCTGTTCCCTGGGCAGACGCGGGTTCCCATTCCAGAGGCCCCAGCAAATCTTTTGTCCCCTGCTACCCACACCAGCACCAAGCAGGGAAGCTTTGCCTTGATAAACCGACTTTAATATTCATGATCGGTAGGAGGCTCAGGGCCAGGTTAGAAAGTCCGTTCAGTTGTGTCTGGCAAAGTGGCCTGGAGGTGGCAGCTCCATCAGTGCTGAGCGAAAACTTGGTGCCCCTCCCACCAAGGGCAGGGAATTCCTGCGGAGAACTCCCCAGGAATGCCTGGCTCCAGCCAGAGGGCCTGGAGGCAAGAGTCCACCAGAGCTGGTCTTCTTGGGCAGTCAGTGGCTACCCTGGCCTCCCCAGGCTTGGAGATGGCTTAGAGGCTGCCACCACTGGGCCTCAGCAAACATAAACAATGTCCAGGTGTCCCCGCCTCCCATCAGGGTCCTCTGTGCTTGTGGGATGACACACTCCTTGAGGTTAACCCCATAGAGGCGTGTTGCCACTGAGCGCCCGCTACACGCTGAAGCCATACACAGGAGGCTGGGCGAAGGCAGGTGCAGCAGCATATCCATAGGGGAAGCCGGCAGGGGCAGGGCCTGCAGCAGGGCCTGCTGTCAGCATCAGCTGCTGGCCTGCAGAGGGAGAAGCAGAGGGTGAGCAGAGCTCCTGCTGCCCCCGAGTGGCCAGGGGCCCAAGGAGCAGGGTGGCAGACCAGCCCTGACCACCCAAGGCTCAGGCACTGGAGAACAGGTGCCTGGGGGCAAGGGCAGTGGGAGTTGCTGTTGTGGGGCCAGCTACAGAGGCTGGCCAGGCTAGGGGGTAAGCTAGTCCCGAAATGGGACACTTACTTAGCTCAACTGGCTGGGTCTCAATCATGCCCATCAAAATCTAAAAAAACCAGATTGACATTAATGGTGGTGGTAGGGGGGCACAATGACCCTGAGGAGGACACAGCTGGTGGGAGACGTGCTGCGTGCTCACACCACACCCTCAGGCCTTTGTTAGTCCCGCAACACAGTCCAGAACCCAACAGCCTTTTGGTGCAGTGGACACCAACTAATCTGTCTGCTCAATGGCCAGGCCATCCAGGCAGGCTCTGCAGTCACAGCCAGCAGCAGGCAGAGCAGCACACGGCAGCAGCTCAGACTCGGGCAGCTGCTAGGCACAAGGAGCAAGCAGGGGCACCCTCACAGAAGGCAGGTACCCTGAGAAAAGGGAGGACAATGGCCGTGTCTCTTCAACATTCCTGGGTCCACTGACCTTCTCCACACCCAGCAGCCGTTGTGGTCCTTCCGTGCCCCACCCTGTCCGTTCCCTCTCTGATCTGAAGCCCAGCCAGGGAAGGGCAATGTGAATGACCTTCCTTACTCACCCCTCCCTAGGGGTAAGGGGATGCCACCTACCAAATAGGAGAGGGGCGGGCTCCACCACATGCTCCTCTCGCTTGCGCAGGCTCTCCGAAGCGTCCAGTCTGTCTACCTGCCAAGAGGTGAGAGCGCTGGAGTGCCTGCCGGACAGGAGGCAGCACACAGCCTCCAGGAAAGTCAGGGCGGGGGCTGGTTGGAGGGCAGACGCTGTACCAGTGACTACTGCCCTGCTCCACAGGAAGGTGAAGCCTCTATAACTGGGTAGACATGGAGTGCCCAAGGGGGCCCTGGTGACCCTCCCACTGTTCCAGCCCGGTACTTTTCATGCGGGCCCCTGGCGGCCCGGGGCAGCAGAGCACGGCCGGTGACTGCAGGCTGCACGTGCAGCCCAGCTCACGGGGCTGGCCCTCCTCTGGATACAGGTGCACCGCCAAGACGGCGGAGCACTTCCTACATCTAGCCAGTCCACGCTGCCCACCCTTCCTGAGGAGACCAGTCACCTGACATCTGGGACATCCCACCTGGCAGAGCGGATGCGCCACCTCAGAGATGGGGGCAGCGACAGCCATCTGAGGACAGGCTGTCTCCTTGCTCTTCCTCAAGGCTTCACCAAGGGCTACCCCATGCAGTACCCACAGGCTGGGGCAGACACTCAGATGGGGAGGGAACAGAGCAAGGTGGTGTCAGGGGCCTGAGGGGCAGACAGCACTGTCCTAGTGGTGGCGATAGCAACTGTGTGTCTGGGACACCCCCCGCCCCCTGCTCTGGCCCCACCAAAACAAGGACTTGAGTCAGAAAGAAGAAAAAATTATGTGCCCTGTGTGCACTCGGGCCAGGGAGAGATCAGGTCAGGCACCAGAACCCTAGCAGAAGCAGCCCTGTTACTGGCCCTCTGCACTCCTCTCCCCTTCCCTCCTTGGGACAAGAGCTGAGGTGAGGAAGGAGCAAGACAGTGCAGTGGCCTCGCAATCCGTACTCTCTTCCTTCAGCTGGCTCCCACCCAAGCTGAGGTCTAAGCTAGGCCTGCATCCTCCACTGAGAGAGCCAGGGGGCTCAGGGATGCGGGTTTTTCTCAGAGGGACGGTCCTCAAGCTTCCCAAATGAATCAAGAGGCCCTGGGCCTGGTTCTCCAGGCAGGAAGGGGCTGTGGCCTTCTTGTCTGGGCCTCTTGACCTCACAGCAGTCTAGTCTGTTGGGCCCCAGGCCAGCTAAGGACCAGCCCACATCCTACCACTGCCTAAGAAACCTCTATTGAGCCCACCCTATCCCCAACATGATAGGCATCGGGTCTGGTGCTGGTGCAGGCATGTGGAGCAGCAGCGATGCTGGGAGCCGTGGTAGCCCCTGCCTTCGTCCTAGGACTAGGGGAGGTGTCTGGGGACCCTGGGTTAGGGAGCAGGTCCTTCCAGCAGGAAGGCAGCTGTAGCCCAAGCACACTGATCCACCCTGAAGTAGCTATGCAGCTGCAGTACTGACATGGCTGCCAGGATGACCTTCATCATTCATCACAGAGAGGGAGTGTGTTTCCCCCCCTAGTCCTCGAGGCCCCCTGGAGGTCCCAACACCTGCAGCAATGAAGGTCTGAGCGATGTGAGTTCCTCTTACATTAACCCATGGGCCTCAACTCTAGGAAGATATTCAAGCCATATGTACCCTTCTTTATGCAGGGGCACAGCAGATAGACTATGGCTAAGACAATTTAGGGATGGGAAAAGCAGAAACCATGGGACAGGTACTGAAGACAAGCTCCACACAGCACAGACACTTCCTTTAGGGAGCTGCTATCCACTGTGGTTGAGGAACCAGGGACTCTTGTAAATCCAACCAGTCTATGTACCCTAGTAGCCTGCAGATCAGGCCACATGGCCAGGACTGCCCCTCTCCTGTCCCCTGAAGAACCTCGGGACACCTCCCACTCAGATGTGCTGTGTGAATGGGACTAGGACACACTCTGGCAGTCCCTCCTCCTGTAGCAGGGAGATGGTCTTGAATGACCCATGGAACAGTCCTTGACAGGGGCTGGGCAGCTCCCAGGAGGCACTGCAGGTGGCAGAAAGAGCAAGCCCTCACAGGCCAAAGCTGGCAGTGCCAGACACCCCCCACCTGTGCACTTCTTATTTCTTCTCTAACCACACTAACCCCTGCAGGCCCCTCCCCTCACACCACTGAAAGAGACCCTCAGCCTAGGGGCTTCTTAGCATTGTGGGCCCTCCATGTGCCTGGAAGAACATTAGGTGTATGGCTGGATGGGCCAGTAGGTGCTGCTGAGTGGCAGCTTTTCTGCAGCCTTAGAAACAAACCAGACTAGGTGACAAGGGTCTCTGGATGGTGCCTCAATTAGGCCCCTGACCAGAACTCCTAGGGCTTCAACACACACGGAGAGTTAAATTCAGACACTCCCACCTCGTTCAACAGCTCATCAACCTGCAAAGAAAGAGTAGGATGCTAGGGCCACCAAGTGATATCTGGAGTGGTAGAAGCAACAGTTACTGAGACATGAGTATGGCCCTGAGGCCAGCGAGATGTGGGTCTGAGCCCATGTCTTCACCTGTCAGCTTTGGACCCAAACCTGTGACTACAGCTGTAGAGTGGATGACTACCTACCTGTCCAGGTGTTACCATTCCTACTAAGTGCTCAGCAAAAGGGGGGTTACCATGACAGGTCTGCCAACAAATGCAACCCGAACTCCACCAGAGGCGCCCTGAGAGGTGAACTGACTGCACAGGGACGGAGCCCACGGGCCGTGCGCTGGAGCTCTGCTACCTGCTGCCTCGCTGTTCTCAGAGCACAAGAGCCCTCGGCTGTGGGCGAGCACAGCTGTTGTGCCCCCTAGCAGCGTGGGGACAGCAAATGCAAGGGGACGGGCTCAGTTCTGCGCAGAGCTCCCCAAGGTGATTTTCTAGAATAGGTTAATGTCGGGCAGCAAACCACTGGGAAGGCATGAGGCCACTCTGCAGGGTGGGTGGGGCTGGCTGGCCAACCTGGGCTGGTCCCCCACAGGCCACTGGCCACCACGGGGCCTCTGCACGCATGGGCTAGAGCCACAGCCGTGCTACATGGCAGCAAGGGAGCCAGGGCAGAACTCGTACTTACTTTGCTAAGGTACTCCCTCATCACCTGGATGAAGTAGGGCATGGCCAGGTCCACGAGGTTGTGTCTCCAGGCCAGCTCCAGCACTACATCCGGGGGAAGCAGGTCGTAGCAGGTGAAGAGAGAGGCCGCGAAGCACTCCTGCTTGCCTTCCTCCAGGAACCACTGCAGCAACTTCTCAGCCAGCTCAGCATCCCTGGACTCTGCAGCATGCTGCATGGCGTCCTGCAACCAAGGCAGACGCACAGCTCAGGTCTGCCCTACCTGGCGCTGCCGGGAGGCACTTTCTGGGTCGGTAGGACACGCAACAGTGCCAGGCTCCGTGAAGGCCATCCTCGCCTGCAGAGGGGTCTCTGTGGCTCAGCTGCCCTCCGGTAGGACGGAGTACCACCTCCAGGAGGGCTGTGGAGGGCACAGTGTGCTCCTGGCAGCAGGCTCTCACAGACCTGCTGAAATGCCAAGAGGGAGGTGACACACACAGGTGCAGGCACCCTGGGAGACGGGCTCTGGTCTTGCAGCCAGACTGGCATGCAGAGGGAGTGCATGGGACTGCCTGGGGGATGGTAACAGAGCTAGCAGGGCCTGATGTAAAGGTCAGAGTCACTGTGCTTGGCTCAACAGCCAGCGCTATCCTTCCAACTCAACATGCAGCAGCTACAAGGGACCCAAGCCAGTGCTCAAGAAACAGCAATCTGCCCATTCTTCCTGACAAAAAGTCCCCTCCAAAATCCCTGATCGCTACTTTCATATTTGCAGATTTGTCTAAAACATAAAGAATCATACCCACCCAGTGAGTAGTCATCAGTAAATTAGTGATTTCGATTTTCTAGCCACAACGGTGAGAAGCAAACGGCCTAAACTGCCAGTGCGTGGTCAGCCAGCTCTCCCGGACCCTCCAGCAGCCCTCCGCAGCCCTGGACAACCTGGGCTTCCAGACACGAGACTGAAGCCCGAAGATGAGGCCTCTCGGCTGAGAGGCACAACCAGTCTCAAAGGCATTCTGGTTGCCCCTAATTGCTGCCTGCTGTTGTGGTCCTGGCTCCTCTCCTGCTCAGTCCTCCAACATGAGACTCCCACGTGGGACCCAACGTCCTATAAGCCAGCTCTGTGGAGGCCGCTCTTGTCCCTGCTCCTGAAAGGATCCTCTCCCACCTGCCTGTTGCTTCTGCTGAGTCCTGCCTCATCCCCACGCTGTTCCTACAAAGGCACCTGTCCTTTTAATGGCAGGGGGAGGGGAGAGGGCAAAGTCAGTGGAGGCTCAAGTGAAAGCTCCAGGACACCTTCAGGTCTCCCTGGACCTCTGACACCAATGCCGTCACTGCTCGGCACTCTTCCCGCATGTCCTCCAGTCCAGCAGGGCGGCCCACCCTTGGTTGGTTCATCTTCAATGTGCACCTAAAAGTGGGCACTTCTCTTCCTTCACAGGCCCGGGGACTGTCTCATGAACTCTTACAGACTCAATTGCCATCATCAGAAAGTGGACGTTTCCAGAACCATTGTGCTCCAACTGTCCAATGGCAGTTTCCTAGAGGATTCAGATGCAATGAGGCCCACAGATGCTCTCTCAGTCTGCGCCCGCCCCCTGCATCCTGGAACCAAGCTTGAATCTGAGATTCTCCCACACCTTCCCACTTCTTGTCACCACACCTGACCCATGTCACTACTGGGGCATCTACCTCGTCCCCATTCCTCAACCTCCCTCCCAAACCACTGCCAGCACTTTCCACGGCCCTGCTCCAGGCCCTCGCCCTGTCCTTCACTGTCCCCAGCCTGCGACTGTATCTCTGCAGGCTCCTGTTCTTCACTTGTGGGCATGAGGGGTCCACGAACCTACTGCCTGTTCACACACCTATGTATGGGCCCCTAGCCCTGACCTTCCCATGCCCTAACACATTCCCTCAATGCCCCACTTGTCCCGCTGGTTCCTCAACAATCCCAGCTTCCCACATGCAGTTACCACGCCCTCTACACCACTGGCTCCTCAGGTAGAGTGAACACACCTTAAAGTGGTTACCCCTGACAGCCAAGAGCCCACTGTGCTTTTACACCCAACCTCTGCAATCTGGAAAGCATGCTTCTTATTGCTTTATGACTGTCCCAGAAGCCAGCAGTGGCTACTCACCAACCCCTCCAGGTGGCACACTATGACCGTCCACTCTCCCAGGACTTCCATGCAGGGTGGGCTCTGCTACCAAGGCATGGCTGACACGTGTGTGTGTGTTGGGGGGTGCTGTGCATCGTGGGCTCTTTAGCACCACCCTGGCCTTCACCTACTAGATGAAGCACCGCACCACGAGCTGTGACAACCAAACATTTCCTGGGGGTCAGAGTCGCCCTCACTGAAAACCAGGGCACTGGAAAGTATGCCCATGGCTTTCTGTGTGTGGCTTTGTCCTTGTGGATTCTTTCTTGCACACGTTGCTCTGAGTGGGATTGCTGGTTAGAAGGGGACAGGTGGCCTTCTGGCAGTTCTCACAGCACTGCTCACTCACTCACTCATTGCCCGAGCGATAAGGGGCCGTGCACTCAAGACCCTGGTGTGTACACTGGCAGGATGGGACAACTGGGAACCCCTAGCCAGGGGCAGTTTCCCTCTGGTGTGTTGGAGCCCCACTGCCACCTCCCAGTGCCAGTGCCTGAGGACCCTGACAAACTGTCTCAGAGTTCCCTCTGTTAGCACCCCAGGAAGGACCATGAGCACTGTCACTAAAAGGGAGGACATGTCACATAACAGTCCCAAACTGGAGGTAACAATCGGGATGAAGCTTGACGTGTCCCTGATGTCCAGGCTTCTCTGGCCTCGGCTCATGTGCCGTGAGAGAGAGACGCCTGTCCTCTTCTGAGAAAGAAACTCAGGAATGCCAAGGACAGTTCTGGGAGTAACACCTTTTAGGTCAAGCTCATGGCCTGAGAAAAGGCTCCCCAGAGGCTCATGGCACGAGGAACCCTTGGAAATCAGCTTAGCCACACTGCACATTACAACGGCCCTCTCATGCAACTGCACTTTACCCCACTGGGGAGATGCTGAGGCCAGGTGGAGCGAAGGTAATGCCTTAAAGGGCCTGGGATCTCTCCAAGCAGCCCACCCTGGCCAGCAGATGCCCAGATCTGGATCAAGACCTGAGGGTGGTACTGAGCCACTGCTCAATGGCAGAAACAAGTATTGTGAATGGGATTTTCACTTTGGTGTTTTTATTCCCTATATCTTGATCAATAGAAAGTAAAGTAGGTGCCAAGTGAATGCTGCCACACTCTGTTCAGGGAGTGTGAGAGTCACAAACACCTGCTGGGAAAGATTCAACTCCATAGGAGCTAGTCTTCTGATCCAAGTAACTGTGAAGAAGCTCAGTGTTAACGACAGATAATGATCTTCACCCTGTGTTCTACAAACAGGTCCCCCTTTACTTCATCCTCCTTGTCCCCACCATAAGTATCTCCTGATAGGGGGTTGTGGCCATCTCACCAGCCCCTACCCCCAAAACATCAGGAAGCACACAGGAGCGCGTGGGGCACCGGGAAACCCACCTTGTAGAGATGGTCCTTCTTGCAGAGCTCCACGCTCTGGGCCCACCGCTTGTTGCCCTTGTACAGATAAGCCGCAATACGCCTGAACTCAATCAGCTGGTGCTTCTCTAACCGCTGTGCCAGGGCGATGTTGTCAAAGTTGTTGTAGGCATCGATGGATGCCCTCAAACCCTAGGAAGACCCGGCCTTTCCGTGGGTGAGGGACACAGTGGAGCGGACAACCAGGAATCAGTCATTGGCAGCTGCTGCCACCATGGCCTCAGAAAGGCCCCTCTTCATCTACCTCTGGTGCCTTGTGGGGCCCACAACCCCTCCTGTGCAAGGTCAGCCCTCGGAGAAGGGGGCGGGTACGAGGAGGGGCTCTCCAGTCCCTGAGTGCCCAACACTGGCTGCAGGGGTCCCTGGGGCAAAGGGAGGTCACTGCCCTCTGATAGGGCTCCTTCCCCCACACCCACCTGGTAATCCTCCTCTTCCGTCAGTAGGTGGTTGAGGGCCTCATTCACACTCTTGTTGTTGTGGCTCTGGACTGACCGCAGGTAAGGCTTCACTAGGGGCAACTGGCCTGCCTGACAAGTCAGGAGAATGGTTAGGGCACTCAGGCAAGTCATCAGGGCACTGAGCTGGGGGCACTGTGACACACTGATGGGCCAAAGTGTACAGCCTAGCTCCAGGTCTCCTTCCGGGCAGCCACAACTGATATGCCCTACACATACTAACACATGAAGGGCTGTCTGGGTTACTGAGTAAATGCCAATTTCGTCTATGGATATTTTGGCTGAAAGACAAAGCTGTATCTGAAACCTAAAGCAGTTTGATACATTTAATCTTTACATTTGCTGGGGATCAATTTAAAAAACTACTTATTAAGGAATGGGGTGCCTGGGCGGCTCAGTGGATTAAGTGTCTGCCTTCGGCTCAGGTCATGATCCTGGGGTCCTGGGATCGAGCCCCACGTTAGGCTCCCTGCTCAGTGGGGAGCCTGCTTCTCCCTCTCCCTCTGCTGCTCCCCCTACTTGTGTTCTCTCTCTCTCTCAAATAAATAAAACCTTTAAAAAGAAATAAATAAAATCTTTTAACAAAAATAAAAATAAATTATTTATTAAGAAATTACACTCAGATGACCTTGGCCCAATACCCTTCTCTGGCTCTGGGATGCTGGCTGACTCACCTTTGCAAAGAAGCCAACAGTCCGGGTGTGGTCTAGCCGGGGCGCCAGCACAAGCAACAGGTCGTTGATGAGCAGAGGTTTGTAATCCAAATAGAACTGCAGGGCTTTATAGTAGAGCTCCACATTGGCAACCTATGGGTGGAGACAGAGCTAAGGGTTGGCTCCTGTCAATCCCCAGGCTGCCCCACCCACCTGTCTCAAATGCAGCACACTCCACCATAACTCCTTCCAGTTTTTGCCCAAATGCACTTTATTAGTGAGGCCTGTTGTGACTGCCCCTTTCAAGACCAAACACTCCCTCCCAACACGCCCCCCTTCCCACCTCTGACATTTTTCTCCTCAGTGACCTAAAAGGCAGGCCTTTGTTTCCTGCCTCGCCCTAGTATCTGATGCAGGGTCGATGCTCAGGTAGTATCTGTTGAGTGAATGAATGCGGGGTAACAGGCCAGGATAAACCTGAACATCAAAACATGGTTTTATCCAAGCAAGATTCCCCCAATCCTCCCTGGAAGCTCACCCTGAGCTGTAAGCAAATCCATAACACATCCTATTATGTTTTCACTGCTCTCAGACAAGACACCATGGTATGCAGAGGGCTGAGTCGTTCCAGGCTGACCCTGTGTCTCTAGGAAGGCCACCCTCCTAGGCCTGCTGATAGTGGGGCCTGGTGTTCAGAGGAGAACAAGGTGGTTCCTACCTCCAAAGGGACGTGTGCCAGGTCTGTGGTGATCAGCATGTCCAAGGGAGCACGCAGAGGTCCAAGGGTGCACACAAAATGTAGCAACATTAGAGTCATGCTGGGTGGAGGGGGTGGGCACAGTAGGAGCTTTCTAGTAACACTAGGTCCAAGTAAGCCAGCAGCAATGTGGGCCCAGTGACATCTGCAGACCACATGGCAGAGGAAGAGGACTACCCACAGCCCCCCTCATTACTGGTACTCTTTTTGGTTACTGACTTTATCCTCCTCTCCAGTCCCTGGCTTGGATTTGCCCCTCTCAGAGCAGAGCACTCACTGTCACCACAGATTTTGACCTAGACTGGCCTCGGGGTCCCTGGTGCTGTCCCTGTCGGTGCCCCCCCCCCTTCCCCTGGGCACACTTGCTTTAGAACTCTGGAACCTGCTAATCTTCCAGCCAGGCCCTTTTACTTAATGGTATCTGGACCCAATCAGACTAGATGTCTAGCCAGACTAGATGTCTAACAAGCAGAAAGGGCAGTGGGGACGTAAGGTGGGGTAGAAGGGCAGGGGCACACTGGATAACCCGCTTTCCCCGCCTTTGGAACAAGTCATTGCTGCCTTCACTAAAGCATGGCCAGAGTGCTCCACATCCCTCTGCTGAGACAGCTTAAGGCAGAGCACAACTGGCCAGGCTCCATTCCCTCACTGCAGTGACTATGAAGCTGGACATGAGCAGGTCCAACCACTCTGGGTGGGTGGGTCCACAGACATGTGTTGTGTTGGGCTGAGCCACTGATCTGGTGACATGTGGCACTCTCTGAAGCATCCACTGCTCCCATCTAGGGCATTGGCGTCTGTGTGGCACCCTCTTGTGGAGCCAAGCACCAGGAGAGGAGCACCAACAAGGTCATACCCACTTGTGCAGTAGGTAAGGACGGCCACCGCTGCCCCAAGACTAGGGACGGGGCATTATTCCTGTTTTGAAGAAGAGAAACAGGCTCAAAGATTCTGTCATGAGCTCAAGGGTGACCAGTGAGGGTGCTCTGGCTCCTGACAGTTACTGCACTACCTGTGAGAAGCACCTACTGTAGGCCAGGCACTTGCTGCTGCTCACTTGGCAGGCAGGAAACATGTCCATTTTATGGATGGGGTCACTGAGGTTCACAGTGATGACACTAGCTCACAGTGACAGAGACAGCAAATGGCTGAGATGCAACCCAGGTCTGTGTCACCCCTGCCTGGCCCTCCACCACTCAGTCCTGTGGCCAGATGATTCTAAAGCTCTCCTGTTGTGTGCTCAGAGTCCTGTTGTGTGCCAAGGCCTCTCTGCCAGGCCACTACACCAGCCACCACACCAGGTAGGTGTCCTCTACAACCCTCCTCCACATGCAAACTGACAAGGGTCTCTCACATAGCAGAGAGGCAGAGGCATCAAGAACAGAACTCAGCTGTCAGCTGCATGAACACTGTTTTGCCACAAGAAATGGTCTTGTCGGGGCACCTGGGTGGCTCAGTCGTTAAGCGTCTACCTTCGGCTCAGGTCATGGTCCCAGGGTCCTGGGATTGAGCCCCACATCGGGCTCTCTGCTCAGCGGGGAGTCTGCTTCTCCCCGTCCCTCCTCCTCCCCTGCTTGTGCTTTCTCACTCTCTCTCAAATAAAGTCTTAAAAAAAAAAAAAAAAAAAGACATGGTCTTGTCTGCGAGCATGTGACCTCGGACCCAAGATGTCATGCTGACTTCCACCTCTCCTCAGGAATCTTCTGATCCTGACCACCATCAAGGTAGACTGCACTCGGGTCATGGGCCACATCAGCTGCCTGGACAGCTTATAACGCCCCAGACACCACTAAGAAACAAAAAGCACTGCCACCTCAACCATGGCATGTCATCAACTTTAAAATGCACCCCGATATCATTTGAGTTCAATGTGAAAAAAGCATGCCTAGAATTGATCAAGTATGGGTTTTCCAGCATGTTTTTCTTGTGTGCTGGGGGCACAGGAACGTGAAATCTGCCCACTCTTCCATCAGCAACCTGTAGACCTGTATAGGGTGGGATGTCTGCAGAAGGCCACCGATTTCACATACCACCACACTAAATAGCACTGATGTGTGTGACCTCAGACGCTGAGACCTGGCTAGGTACCCCACCCGTCACCCACACCTGCCCTCAGCGGCCATATGTAGAACAGAAGGTAGACAACTCCCTGACCCAGATGGTGAGGAGCCAATGCCCCCCCGCCATCCCTCCTGGGAGCAACAGGACCAACACACAGTCAAAATGCTATCTTTCACTGACATACAGCAAATGGGAGAGACCTGTGGACAAGTTATTCATGTAAGGCCACTGCGACAAAACGAGGACACTCAAAGCAAAAGACCCGGGACTGATGACAGAAAGCTTCATCCCCTCACCTTCAAATACACAGGGCTCACAGAGGAGGAGAAGCTTGGAAGCTGGGCCCACGCTGAGCCAAGAAACAAAACAGCAGAGGCCTGCTCAGTGCCTGCACCCAGACCTGACACCTTCTAACAGTATTTGGCAGCTGGTGGAATAGTTCAGCACCCTGGTTTAGCCCAACTAGACTACTGGAGGGTGGATGCTCCGAGGAAGGGTGGGGACCCAGAGGCCAGCAGATCCGGGTTCATGAATCCACCTCCACAGGTGTCCGTGCTCCTCTGGGGCTAGCAGTTTTAGGGGCAGAGACGTGAAGAAAAAATATGCCAGATGGTAGAAAATATGAAACAGTACAACAGGAAATGGTATAGACGGGGTCTGGAGGTGGGTCCCAATCTGATAGGGCAGAAGGAAGAGCAAACACCAGGGTCTGGCTGTTCAGGACCCTGTGGGGGAGTGAGGTAGGGAGAGTGGTCCTAGGCCCTGCCCCGCCTGTAGCCTGGCTTTGGGGCCGAGGCCAGTCACTACCCTTCCTAAGCATCCATTCCCTTTGCGCAGAATCACCATGACCTCCACAGAGGGCAGTGAGACCCTCACAAGATGAAGGCAAACACAAACACACCCTGGGGCGCACACACTGGCATTCATCCTGCCCGCCCCTAGGCTAGGCTGGGCAGAGGCAGACAGGAGCTGGTGCTCAGGCACCCTCTTACCTTGGTAATGACATCCTTGAACTGCCCTTCCCTCCAGGCGTCAGTAGGGTGATTGATCATGGTAAGGACGGCATTGTCGTACTCTTCATACTTGTCATAGAGGAACACCAGCTCTGCCCAGAGGTGCGCCTGCTCTGCAGCTCTCAGCACCTGGGAGGGTAGCCAAGGCCGAGGGCTGGGCTTGTGCCCACATGCACACGGCAGCCAGAACCTCAAAGAGGGCTAGATTACCTTTGGGATGTTGACTCGGGACCAGAAGAGCTCCAGGTGCTCTGGCATCTTCTGAGGCTTGAATTTGGAGTAGAGGATGGCCAGCTCTGTGAACATGCCCATGTGGGCCCGCTCCAGGCCCAGGGCTCCCTCCAGCAGAGAGATCAGTTCCTCAAAGTAGCCCCGATCCTGACAGATGAACAGACATGCTTGAGGTAGGGGCAAACACACCCGGGGTGGCCAGCCCTGCTCTCTCGGTTATGCACTCTGGTTCCAGCCCGCCTGACGTGCCTGAGCTGAGTCTGACTGGTTTCCATCACATTAATGCCCAAAAACCTCAAGGGCCACCCCCAGAGGACGATTTCACACCCTCCTCATTCCCTGTCTTCACTGTGTGGATAACCTTGCTCCTGCTTCACTGAGCAATGGAAGCCATTAGGAGCAAATGTCTGTGTTGACCCTACTGGCATCTGTACCCATGTCTACTCGCATGCTGCTTGTGCTCCTGGCTTAGGCTCCACCTGCCACCTACTGAGGCTGATGGGCCAGTAACTGTCCCTTTCTCTCTGGGCATCAGCTTCTCCCTCCACAGCTTGCCTTTAGCAAACATCCTTATTCTCCCATCCTGAAACGCTCTTTCTTGATTCCATGGACCCTACCATTGCCATACCATTTTTCTACTCTTTGCAGCAAAACTCCTCAGCAGGATCCCTCCCTCCTGGGCACAGATGCCTTGTTCTCTGTAACTTCTTCTCACTTTACCCCAACCCATGTTGGAGAGCCCTAGGCTCGCTTTCTGCTATTCTTTATCTGCCCCCACCCCCCTGACCTCACTCAAATTGCGTGTCTTTATGTCCCATCTGTGTGTCAACCAATGGCTCCTATTTCATTTCTCGAGCTGAGTTTCTTCTCTGAGTCCCAGGCCCTGTTTCCCTCTGCCCCCCACCCCCCGACACCTCTATGCAAACGTCCAATCGGCAGCTCAAACTTGGTATGTCCAAAACTTAATCCCTGCCTTCCCTTCCACCAGTCTCTGCCTTTAGTCTTCCCCACGTCCACTAGTGAGAACTCTATCTCTAACTGTTCAGGCCCAAAATAAATGGAGTCATCCTTACCTTTTTCCTCTCTCCCACACACAATCTACTAGCATACTGACTCAGTTGCACCCTCAAAAACCCCCAAACCTGACCGCCTGATCACTTCTTACCCCACATCACCCGTCCCAGGGCTCTCCTGGCTGCCACCTGCCCGCTCCTGTCCCCAGAAGGGGCTGTTCTCAACACGCAAGCCAGAATGGCCCTTACCTTCAGGTCCCGTGTCTGGCTGTGAGTCCTTCATGATGGCCTGTGTTCCCCCCAACCTCCCCTCCCCAGGGCCCTTCCTTAAATACTTGGCACATTCCTGCCTCCGGACTCTGCCCTGGCTGCTGACCCTTCCTTCAGATTTCCCCATGACCAGGCCCCTCAATTTCTCCAGGTCTCTTTTCAGGGTCACCCTCTCAATTAGTGTGACCTTGATGGCCCCTTCATGAAGTTTCACCCAGGCACTGCTCGTCCGCAAACAGGTTCCACTGTTCCTGTAACTCATCACTTCCAAACGTGATGTTTGTGGCCTGTCAACCTCATTGAATGTGAATTCAACTGAATGAGGGTTTTTTTGTTTTGTTTACTGATACCATTATCTAGAATAATGCCCAGCATATGGCAGGTACTCCAACACTTGCTGAACAAATGAAGTATTCTGTCAGTCACTAGACTGCTTTATTACTTTCCCCGTTTACTTTACAGTTTTATTTCTTGAGCTTCTGTGGAATAGGAAAGCATCTGTCACTGACAAGTCATCCAGCCTAGCTTGACATTTTAGACTCCAGTGGCCCTCACTTTCATAAGCTCATAGGCCCCTTGAACCGTGCGACTCACTAAGTTCCCCCATAGCCCTTACTATCCCCTCAGTGACAGGGGGCTGGGGCTTGAGTTCCATGGGTACAGTAGCACTGCTGAGCAAAATCCAATTTTCAGTCTACCCTGCTGACCCCACACTTCCACACATGCAGTTCCAGGACAGAGGCCCGGGCCCTGAATACACTGATGTCTGTCAACCATTTGACAGAGAAGATGAACTATGACACTAACACAGATAGCTCCTACTCTTCAAAGGTCCCTTGGGGTTCCCTACCCGGGACTGTTGCATGTCCTCCATCTCTATGGTACCTGATAATCATACCCTCTGTGGGCCACACACTCTAGGGGATTGGGGTATGGGCTGTGTTTCTGCCATGACTTGTTCCCAGCAAGGTACCCAAGGATTATCCACATGTGCAAGCCACTGGCTAGGCTTCTGAAGGTCCAAGGACACAAGAAGAGGGGGGGAGTACTCTTTTTTCTTTTAAAGATTTTATTTATTTATTTGAGAGAGAGAGAGAATGAGAGAGAGCACATGAGAGGGGGGAGGGTCAGAGGGAGAAGCAGACTCCCTGCCGAGCAGGGAGCCCGATGCGGGACTCGATCCAGGGACTCCAGGATCATGACCTGAGCCGAAGGCAGTCACTTAACCAACTGAGCTACCCAGGCGCCCGAGGGGGGAGTACTCTTAAAAACACAAATACCAGCCTGCAGTTAGGTCCAGGATATCTAACACACCAATCTGATTTGTGGATGGGTCGTCTATCACATGAAAAGACTTTCCCATAGAGACAGTGCTTTGTATGCCTACCTGAGGATGTGACACATACTAAGGGGATGAGCGTCCCTTTATGTGGAGTGTTTAGGTGTCATTCATCATCTCCACTGCTGGTAGAAATCATCTCTGGCCAGAGACTAGTTACCTGGTAATAGCGTATCAGCTCCTCCAGCTCATCTGCGTGAATGACAATGTGAAGACCACACAGCTGTGCAAGGCGGAACTCCTGCCCATCCACGCATGCAAAGCACACCTATGGGAGGGAAGGCCAGAGAATGTGAGTGTCCCCAAGGGCACAGTGCCACAAGAGCTGGCTGCCGGGATGCAACTACAAATGCAGAAATACCAGCAAACAGGGTTTTTAAAGTTAGATTCTGAACAAGTAAATAACTGAAAGGTGAGCTGCGTGAGACTGGGAGAAAAAATAATGCCATTTCTAATCTGCAGGCCAAAGGGGTATTTGAGATTGCAGAGAGAAGAGGACTCATGCATTACTTCTAAGCCCTGAGATGTGAAAGTCTCTTTAGGGGGACAGGAAAGCAATGCTGGACTTTCCGGTTTGGGGTTTGAAAACGGTTTAACAAAGTTCAAGAATAACTGTCAAAGGAGTACAGTTCATCTGAGTGCTCTTTATTTGGGAGGAGCTTACTTTAATAAATATATATATATATTTTAAAGATTTTATTTATTTATGCGAGAGAGAGAGAGAGAGAGCACATGAGAGGGGGAGGGTCAGAGGGAGAAGCAGACTCCCCACTGAGCAGGGAGCCTGATGCAGGACTCGATCCTGGGACTCCAGGATTATAACCTGAGCTGAAGGCAGTTGCTTAACCAACTGAGCCACCCAGGCACCCTAATAAATATTTTTTAAACTGAGCTTTTGTTTTAGGCACTCTGCAGTATATACACTCAATGATAACAAGTTCTAGGAAGTAAAAGAAGCCCCCTGGGCTTCTGCTCAGAAAGACTCAGAAGGGGCCCTTGAGTTGCTCGCTCGCTCCTTCCTTTTTCTTTCTTTCTCTCTCTCTCCCCCTCCCTCCCTTCTTCCTTCCTTAGATTTTATTTATTCAGAGAGAGAGAGAGAACACATGAGCAGGGGGAGGGGCAGGGGGAGAGGAAGAAACAGATTCCCCGCTCAGCAGGGAGCCCCACTTGGGGCTTGATCCCAGGACCCTGAGATCATGACCTGAGCCCAAGTCAGATGCTTAACCAACAGAGCCACCCAGGTGCCCCTAAGCTGCTCTTTTTTCCATGGCTGAAGAGAGACCTCATACCCACAGGCAAAGCTGGCTTCTCTTGAGGTTTCCCTACCTCCCCATCTTCTATATAGGCATGTGTTTTCATGGTAGATAAGGCAGAAAACCCAGATAAACAAAAATAGTCCCACAACCCAGAGATAACTGGTCATTACCTCGAAACACAACTGTTACCAGCTATATTTCTTGTTTTACAGCACCCACCAGATCTCTCTCTCACATACTCACACACAGAATGGAATTACCCTGCACATTCTACTTATGTTTCTCACAGAATACTCAAAACCTCCCCTCCCATAACCTTGCCTATTCATTTTGGTAAAGTTGCAATATGTACATTATTTAACCATACCCTTGATATTAGACATTTATGTTGATTTTAATCTTTTATTAAACAGTACTTCAGAGATTCATTGAAGCTAAATCTTTTGTACCTCTCTTTACAAACTTTTTTCTACTTACAGATAATTCTGGTATTAACCGAGAGCTAGAAGACGTGCCCTACCAATTTACTACAAAAGACCAAAAATGCCAATTTACACTGATTATACCACTAATAAGGTGGTTTTTAAAAATATCTTAAATTATGACACTACTTCTCATACTGATAATTCCATGCTATTAAGACAGCCTCTGGGAGCTGATTGGTCCAAAACAGAGCTCTCCAAGGCCTTTGTTTCAATCACAAATGCAAGCTTACGAGGTTCTCTGAGCCTTCCCAGAAGACTCGGAACCCTGCCTGGACAAGGCAGTCGTCCAGACACATCCCATCTGGCACAAGGGTGTGGAGGAAGGAAGGACAAGGAGGAAAGGCTTGAGAGACTAGTGGTGTCCTGGAGACTTCCTATGCTTACCTCCTTCCACGTCCGGGTGCTGTTGGCCTTGCGGCTGCTGTCCACCGCTGCCTGGTATTCCCCGAGGTGGACCAGGGTGGAAGCCAGGCGGGCAAAGTTAGAAACACTGCTGTACAGCAGCTTGGCAGCCTCATACATTCCCTCCTCGTAACAGCGGTCTCCAACCTACGAACAACCAGGTAGCTTTGCTGAGACCTTCTTAAATGGGAAGATTCTCCAGAAATGGTCTAAAGTTCCTAGGTGGCAGGGGTATTTCTGTTTTCAAAGAAGGCGAGTACCGTTCTGATCACACAGCAGCCTGGGCTACACAGAGCTTCTGAAGGATAAAGTGTGCCCCTCAGGCCCTGGATCCACTCTCCACCGCCTGCTCCTGTGTCTGCTGGCTGTCATCTCCCACATCTGCACCCCAGTGGGCCTGGCCTCAGAGGTGTGCTCCTTGCTGCTTCCAGGCCAGTCCCCTCCGCCCCACTAACAGCTGCCCACCAGAGAATGGCCTGCCAGGGATCACACACCAGCCCTGGTTCTTGCTGCCACCCATAGATCTCGCTCATTCCCTGAGAGCTTTAGCTTTCTTTGACTTCCTCTGCTCTGAGGACCTTGCATCTCTCCTGACAACAGCCAGTCACTGTCAGCTGCCAACCCTGGGAAGCCTGGTACAAGAACCTACTCTCTGTCTACTGCCTCCCCTCCTTTCCAGCTCACCACCACCTCCAGACACCCCAAGTCCTGCCCACCATCCCCATCTGCGACCGGCCAACTCTCCTCCTGGCTTGCTGGCTGTTGGCAAGCCATGTGGCTCTACTCTCACTGCCTTGGTTGCACTTGGCTGTACTTACTAGGCCAAACCCCAGTCCTGCTTAGAGTGGTTTCTCTGCCAACTCCGCACCCAAGACCGCAGAGCTAAATTCAGACAGCCAAAACCCAAAGCGCCACCCAGGCTCTCTTAAACTTCATGATGATGGCCCTAGAGGAACACACAACACTAGCAATCCTACTCCCTCAGCCCAGGTACTCGCTCCTTGTCCATCATTCATTTCCTATCTTCTCTCCCCAAATCTCCAGCAACTCAAGCTGAGTGCCTGGCTTCCCAAACCCTGAGGAGACAGACACAACCAGAAGAGCCCTTCCATAAGCACCAGGACTGAGCCTGCCCCCTTGCTGCATCTATGGTCCTCACCTGGCCCCAACGCCAACCCCACTGGTGCACGTGACCCCAGCTCCCCTCCCCTGCTCCAGGTCCCCTCCCCTGCTCCAGCAAGCCTAGCAGTGATTCTTCCCTCCGTACTAAATCACTCCTATAAGCTTAAGGAATCAGTGTTATTTCCCCCAGCTCCAAACCAAACCAACCAATCTTCACTGTGACCTCAGCCCAGCTATTGGCTACCACTCTGCTTCTACCCTTTCTTTTTGAGCAATATTTCTCAGAAGAGATGTCTATCTGTCTTAAAAGCTGTCCCCAGTCTCCTTCTGTCCTCTCTGGAATCTGCTGCAATCAGTCTCTTGCCGACTTGCTAGCAGGGTCACTGCTTCTAAGTCGCCAGCTCATGATGCACAGCTTACCCATCACTCTCCCCGACAGACACCTACTCGCTTCCCTGCACAACCCTTTGCTTTTGTCCCCCCACCCCCGCCACTTTCCATCCCCACTTCTCCCTGCCCTTGGGCTTTGGGGTGCCTTGGTCTCAGGTCTCAGCCGCCCCCCATTGCACAGGGTCAACTGCATACTGAAGACTGCCACGTTTACAGCTCTATTCTTAAATTCTCCTTGGAAATTGGACTTCTGTATCCAGGACAGACGCCCCTGAATGTCGAGATCGAACCTGCCTGCACGCGAGTCCTGACTGTCCTCCAGGCAGGCCTCATACATGGCCCCCACCTCAGTAAGCACAAGTCCATCTGTCCAGGGCTGTCCCACACCACACATGGCACAGCTGCCTCACTCCCCCTTCTCACTCACACTCCACCAGCAGCCCAAGCTTATCGCCAGCTCTCTGCCACTCACCTCGACCACTTTCTCTGAGTGGCCATTGACTCTGGCCTGGGCTACTGAATAGCCTCTTATCTGCTCTCATTGCTTCTGCCTCTGTCCTTCAGTCTGTTTTCAGCACAGCAGAAACTCCAGAGGAGTTCTGTTAACCCCTAAGACCAGATCATATCCCTCCTCTGCTCAGAGTCCTCTGATCTCACCCAGAGCAGAAGCTAGAATCCTGCCCGTGTCCCACAAGTCCTGACATCCTCGCCAACAACCACCTCTCCCCAACATTCCCTCTCTGACTTGAACCGTGAGCCCATGTTTGAGGTCCTGCTTCAGCCCCCTGGGCCACCACTGTACTGCTCCTGCAACACACTGAAGTATTCCTCAAGGCACCCTTGCACAGGCTCTTCTGTCTGCACTCAGGCCTCCTCCCTCAGAGGGATACAGACTCAGGAACTCACCTCCGGGACACCTTGCTGGCCACCCGTCGAGAAGTGCACCACCCACCTTCCCACATCACCTGCCCTACACTGTCCACCTCTCCCTGCTGTGCTTTTCTCCTGTAAACTTACCATTTAACACATCACAAATTTCTCGAATGGATCATAAGATCCACAAAGGCAGAAATTCGACTACTATTTTCACACCTGCATCCACAGTCCCTATCCTGGCACATGGAAGATGCTCAAGAAAAGTTCGTTGAATGGATTAATTAATGAAGTATCGTATCAAAGCGTATGATCCCTTAAGACTCTTGTTATTGTCAATTTATAGGCAATACAGGGAAAATGAGTTAAATGATATCACGGGACTTCAGTCAGCAGAAGCCAGACTGTGGGACACATATGAAAACAGGTGGTGGACTGATCTGGCTGACATGTACTGACCCCACCTTGGAGGACTGTGGAAGGCAGGGAGCACAGCCTTAGGGTCACCATGAAGAGAGGCAAAGAACAAGCAAAGCCATCTGAGCTTCCCAGTCCAGCTAACTTCCGGTAGGATTTACCTTCTCTGTGACCCAAGACAGCATCTCTCGCTATGGTATTTAATAGACTCCCCAGTCGGGAGAATTCTGTTATGAATTCAGAGGGAGATTTCGGGCAAGGCTTCATTTTCTTTTTTTTCTTTTTTTTTTTTTTAAAGATTTTATTTATTTATTTGACAGAGAGAGATACAGCGAGAGAGGGAACACAAGCAGGGGGAGTGGGAGAGGGAGAAGCAGGCTTCCCACCGAGCAGGGAGCCCGATGCGGGGCTCGATCCCAGGACTCTGGGATCATGACCTGAGCCGAAGGCAGACGCTTAACGACTGAGCCACCCAGGCGCCCCCAAGGCTTCATTTTCTAACACCTTTATTCACTTTCTGATTATAAAGGCAATTTAAAAGTTATGGTCACCGATTAAAACAAGACTTGGCAAACACAGGCAAGTGAAAGGAAAATGGAATAGTATTGCCCAATCCTTATCTCTGAGTTCTTCGTTGTCACCACCTGGGATGTTTTTCTAGGTACATAGATATGTTTATCATATTGTACATGCAGGTTTTCACTTGGCTAGAACTTACTTCAAAGGTTTTTCTGTCACAAACAAGACTCTAAATACTTGTAATGGCTGTATTATATTCCACTGAAGGACGTTATTTCCTTTTGTTGGACACTGGCTTTCAACTGTTATTAGTATAAATCATGCTGCAATAATTAAATATTTATATGTAAAAGCTATTTGGACTTTTTCTTCTTTCTTGGGATTTATTTTTACATCTAGACCTATGAGGCCCATGATTAGGAATATACATATATTTAAAGTTTTTATGCATTAGATGAACTGATACTTTCCTTTGTGCTTTCTTCCACTGCTTATATGCTTAAAAACTCCTTCCTCATACAAAGATTCAAATAAATATTGAAAACTTTTTACTAAGAAAAAAAACCCCTCAACTTTTACCCATAATTCTTTCATCTGGAATTTTACCCCAGGAAATAGGAGACTTTACAGTTATTTAGCTCTTTCTTTTATTTAACATTTTGCCTTAAGGTTTGTTTAAACATTTTTGTGTTATTCCTACTTTAAAAAATATTCTTCCCATTACATTATGATAATTGCTAACATATGAAAAGCTGTTAATTTCCAACCTATCTCTTTTACCTGGCCAGTTACTCAGTTCACTTTGCTCTTCAGTGATATCAGCTAGAACACTGGCACACAGTCCATTTTATAGGAGAATCATTCTGATGTGCACAACCAGGGGACTTAACTTCCATACCAGTGACAGTAACACAGGACTTAATTCACGGGCTGGCTTGTTTCTCAGTGTCAAAGATCTGCGCCACTCTAGGAAGCGATCCCTAAAACTGCCTGGAGCAGTTTGTGGTCCCCAGGGCATGGCCTACCTGCTGGATGTGGGCATTGTTGGGTCCATTAATACAATCTTCTAGCTCAGACAGACGGCTGGTTTTAGCCAGGGCAAAAATAAGTTCAGTATCTATATAGGATTCATGGCCCTTTTTCCTGGCCATCTGTAGAAATTTAACCAGATCCTCCCAATTGTCTAAAGACAGAAAACAAAAATACGTTAATCCAGAGCTGCTGAGTTTAAACAGGAGGCTCAGCTCCTTCCATTTTGTCCCCAGTTAAGATGTTTAATCTCCCACTCGGCTTCAGTGAGGGCTTGGACTCCAGGTAAGGTCTAGAAGGACTTGTTTGCCTGCTAAGCAGAGCCCTATCCCAGGTGGGAGAGACAGAAAGGGCAGAACCACATGGAGGCTGACTCTGGGGATGGGAAGTTCCATGTCACCAAGTAAAGAGACCTCACCAGGAGACAGGATGCTTATTCCAGCCCCTGGAGAAGCGTGGACCACAGTTAATTGGAAAGGCCAGAAGAAGCTCTGGGTCTAAGTTTCTGACCTTAAAATTATCATGATAATGCTAGTCACTGTGCTTAAACTATCTTGCCAACCAAAGAGCTAGTGTCTAGTTAACAGCCAACTGAAGAGCTAGTGTCATTAATAGAATAACAGTAATAGATTCTTTTGGAAAACTTTGATTTAGCAATGTCTCCAATATCTCTGGATGTGTAACATGTGCAGATTCCTGGGAGGGCCACATCCTTCTCTTGCCAGGCTTCACACCAGTGAGAAGCAGAGCCCCAGGGAGAGGAGGTTCACTTACTGCTCCTGCTGGCTGCCTGAACGACCTCCAGGTAAGAGGAAGGGTCATCAGCTCTAATGTAGGAGTCAATGGCTTCTTTCACCAAGTCTTTCTGGAGCTGGGCGCAGGCCAGCTGACTCCACACAGCAGGCTCATTGCATCTCTCCGCAAACTCGTATGCTCGGTCTAGGTTTCCAATGTGCTCAATCAGGACCTAGGGGTTACAAGAGGGCTCTCATTCTCCGCAACACCCAGTCAGCTCCAGGGAGCAGACAGATTTTTGTTCAGTTCTACATTTTGCCTAAAGTTGCATGACCATTTCAATTCAGTCCAAAGCAACTGGGCATTAAGTATTTCTCAGACGATGAATGGAGGGAAAAGATGAGACCTATACTGTAAAGGAGGAAAATGCCATGTGGAGAAGAGACACTCCAACAAAGAGGCATAAAGAAATGAGAGACAGCCAAGCTAAGCTTTTTGGGCCAGGAGAATGACATGGGAGTTGCCTCCCGATCCTGGTAAGATAGTACAATGGGGCATACAGGCTGTAAAAAGGCTCAAAGGAGCTACTGTGGGGAATGAGATAGCTCAGCAGGCAGAAAACAGGCTTGAAGGACAGTCTGGAGGGCTTGGGTGCAGCAGCTGCCCCTCATACAGTTTGATCTCAGAGCAAGGCCACAGACCATGTATGAACTGAAAAGAGGAGATCTGAGATTTCACAGGCAGGTACAGAAAAATGGTAAGGGAAAGAGGCAAGGACATAAAGAATCTTGGTAAGACAGCAGTTAAAGTGATCTGTCCCATGGTTTATAATTCATTTGGAAATAAAACCAGAAAAGGCCAACAGTCTGGGAGGAAAGGGAGGAGGGCTAAGGGAAAGGATCTTGGTCGGGTTGAAGGTGGGCAGGAGGGCTGGCGGGACTGTTCTGGGGAGCTGAGGCAGCAGAGGGTGAAGGACTGGAACAGTCATCATGTGAGAGGGCCTCTGAGAATCAGACACCTCAGTCACCAGGGCTGACCACAACACCTCGATTCAGGTATCCAAGTCTAGAGGAATGACCAGGAAGTGGGGGTGACTGCCAGACAGCAGGAGCACAAGCAGAGTAGGAGCCAACAGCTTGGGAAGATGGGTTACTAGTGAACAGCAGAAAAGAGCACAAGGATCTGAGAGATGCATCAAACAACTGGAGGGTGTGACACCATTGGTGATGACGAGGACACAGTGTGGCAGAGGTCACTAGGGTCTACCATGACAGCACTCAGCAGCTCACCTGGATTGCTGAGGCGTTCACATCAAACTTGCGGAAGATGGTGAAGGCCTCCTCATACAGCGCACTGCTGACGGCGATGTTTGCAATGTCTGGGGCATCGTAGTTGTCCAGGCGGCTGATGTATTCCATGACCCGTGTGCGGTCCGCCTTGATGGCAGTCAGGATCAGCAGATTCTGGAGATTCCTTAGGAGAGGTGGTGGTCAGCACAGTGTCACAGGAATGAAAGCTGTACGTAACACTCTTTGGCAGGTTGACCAGCCCAAGATCCCCAATTTAAAAGTATTTAAAACACACACACGACTGACGAATAGATACAACAGAATATTTATGAAGTATATGTGGTCCAACGTCTTGAGAAAGCACCAGGTAGGAGATAGGAGAAATCAGAAAACCACCAATCATTGGAAGGCTGCTGCAGCTTCTCCAGGAGCTGCGACCACTCCTGCTTCACAGGTATCTATTTTCCTGAACTGTGCCTCTTACTAGCTCTTTGTGGTTCTTTATAGTTCCACCATATAAATTGTATATCTATGGGTGCCTGAGTGGCTCAGTCAGTTGCGCGTCTGCCTTCAGCTCAGGTCATGATCCCAGGGTCCTGGGATCGAGCCCCACGTCAGGCTCCCTGCTCAGCGGGGAGCCTGCTTCTCTCTTTCCCCTGCTTGTGCTCTTTCTCTCTCTGTCAAAAAAATAAACAGTCTTTTAAAAAATTGTACCATTGTTGTAGTTCTGTATACTAGCAATGTACAATTGTAAACAAAAAAAACCCTCTACCTATTTATAATAGCTTCCAAAACATGAAATATTTAGGTATAAATCTAATAAGACATATACATGATCTATATGCTGAAAAATATAAAATGCTGATGAGAAAAATTAAGCAATATAGTTTTGCATGTTTTTGAACTTTCCTTTTCTTTAATCACACTAGATGCATTCTTATAAAATTTGTTTTCTTTTGTCTTCTTCAAAGATGTGGGGGGAAAATCTATGTAATGTACCATATTAAGAATTTAAAAAAGAAAAACATGATCATACTGATTCAGAAAAAGCATCTGACAAAATCCAACACCCATTAATGATAAAGACTCTGTACAAACTAGAAATAGAAGGGAACTTCTTCAATCTGATGAAGGCTATCTACAAAATATCCACAGCTCTCAATGGTGAGAGACTGAATGCTTCCCCCCAGGATCAGGAACAAGACAATGTCTTCTTTCCCCACTTTTATTCAACATTCTACTGGAGGCTCTAGTCAAGGCAGTTAGGCAAGAAAAATAAAAGGCATCTAGATTAGAAAGGAAGAAATAAAACTGCCACTATTTGCAGGCAAAATGATTGATAGAAAATTCCAAGGAATCTTTGAAAAAAAGTTCTAGGATAAATAAGCTTAACAAGGTATCAGGATACAAGGCTAACCATTGTTGTAGTTCTGTATACTAGCAACGTACAACTGTAAACAAAAAAACCCCTCTACCTATTTACAATAGCTTCCAAAACATGAAATATTTAGGTATAAATCTAGTAAGAAATGCACATGATATATATGCTGAAAAATATAAAATGCTGATGAGAAAAATTAAAGATCTAAATAAACAGAGAGACATATTGTATGTGTACTCAACACAGTAAAGATACCAACTGTCCCCAGGTCATGAGGTCTATAGATCTCATGCAATTCCAATCAAAATTCCAGGAGGTTTCCCTGTCGATACAAACAAAGCTGATTCTAAATCTTGAACAAGAATAAAGTTGGAGGAATCACACAACCGGGCCAAGTGATTTTTGGCAAAGATGCGAAAGGAATTCAATGCAGAACGGACCCAACAAATAAGGCTGGAATGACTGGACATCCATGTGCAAAAAAATGAACCTCAACCTAAACTTCATACGTTGTTGGACACTGGACCACACATCTAAATGTAAAATGTAAAACTATAAGACTTTTAGAAGGATTGTGGAGGGAATCTTTGACCTGGGATTAGGCACAGAGTTCTTAACACCAAAACACAATCCACAAGAGAAAAGTTTGACCCGGACTTGATCCAAATGAAAACTTTTTATATGCAAATGATACTATTAGGAGAATAAAAAGACAAACTCCACACTGGGAAAAAATATTTGCAAATCCCATATAAAACAAAGCACTTGTATCCAGAATGTATAAAGAACTCTCAAAACTTAACAGTGAAAAACCAAATAACACAGTTAAAAAAAAGGCAAAAGATTTGAGAGACTCTTCACCCAAGAGGATATATGGAGAGCAAGTAAGCACAGGAAAAGTTGTTTAACATCATCAGCCATTAGGGAAGTGCAAATTAAAACTACAATAACTTGCCACCAAATGCTTAAATAAAATGCTAAAATAAAAAATACCGATAATACCAAGTGCTGGTGAAGATGTAGAGCAACTGGAATTCTCACACGTTGGTGGGAATGCAAAATGGTACAGTCACTCTGGAAAACAATAGTTTGGCAGCTTCTTAAACAGTTAAACATACATATACCATATGGCTCAGCAGCTGCTATGTGTGTTCAAACAAAAATCTGGACACAAACATTTATAGCAGCTGTATTCATAGTAACCCCAAACTGAAAACAATCCATGTCCTTCAATGAACAAGTGGATAAACAAACTGTTGTACATTCATACCACAGAATACTATTCAGCAATAAGAGAGAACTATTGATGCACACAACTTGGATGAATCTCAAAGGCATTACACTGTGTGAAAAAAGCCAAGTCTCAAAAGATTGCATACTGTGTGATTCCCTTTACATGACATTCTTGAAAAGGCAAAACTGGATTGATGGTGATGAATCACAGATGGGCAATTGTCAGGGGTACTGGGGATGTAACTGTAAAGGGTAGCTCACATGAGGCAGTTTCATAGTGAGGGAACTGTTCTGTATGCTGACTGTGGTGGTTACGTACATGAATCTAGGCTTATGTTGAAATTCCCCACAAAAGACCAATTTAACTGTATTGTAATTAAAAAGAAGGGGGAAAAAGTATTAAAAAATTAGGTCCAAGATTCACCCATGCTGTTGTATAGCATTCACTTCCTCTGTGACATGGTACTCCGCTGTACAACAGTACCACAGCTCTTTTACCGATGGGTATCTGGACTGCTCTCAGATCTTTGCTATTGGAAATTGTGCTGCTTTGTGCATTCTTGCACATGTCTCCGATACAGGTGAGCCGAGTTTCTTCAGGGTTCAGAACCAAGAGTGGAAACATCTTCTAACATGCACTGCTTCCCAAGAGGAACGCACATTCCCAACAGGGTATGCCCAGTTGCTCGAGACTCTCATCAAGGCTGATTAGGAGAGCTAGATCCCCACAGCTCTGCAGGAGGAATGGGATGGTACACAGCGGCCAGGCTGTGCTTCCTTGATGGTTGATGAGGCTGCATTCCTGCCTTAGACTCACAGGCTGTCTCTCCTCTTGCTGAAGGATCACTCAAGAGCTTTGCTGAGTTCTCTATCAGGTTGTTTGAGTTTTTCTTTTTCATTTTATGTTCTCCATGCTAGTTTTTTGTTGGTTATGTATGTTGTAAATGTCATCTGTTTGCAGCTTCCCCTTTTCTCATCTTATTATGATAAAGTTCTTAGGTTTAACATAGTCCTATTTACTAGTTTTTCTTTTTCTTTTTTTTTTTAAAGATTTTATTTATTTGACAGAGAGAGACACAGCGAGAGAGGGAACACAAGCAGGGGGAGTGGGCGAGGGAGAAG